AGAGAGAGAGAGAGAGAGAGAGAGAGAAAGAGAGAGAGAAAGGTTGTCTATGTTGTTTCGCCGGGAGAAGGGAGGAGGTATGCAGACCCTATCCCCACCCCTAACTCATCTTCCAGTAGCCTTAGCCTTTCCAGTTTTCTTCTCCCAAGTAAACATGTTGGGATAAAGCATGCAATCGGGGAAGTTGTGTTACCCTACCGTACCCTACCCTCACCGGCGGTATCCCATCCAGCGAGGTGCCTCTCCTGGCATCCCTCTCTTCCTCCTGTGCTGCCACCGCATCGTCTAACAAGACCTCCAGGTAGTCCACGTCGTTGTCGAACACCGCCTGTTCGCGCGAGGACAAAAACAGAAGGCAGCAGACGTTTGACAACAACACGTAGTAAATAAGTCGTGTACCTCCCTCCCCCCCCCCCCGCTTGTTGGACCCCGACAAACACGGCAGCAAACGCTTGACAACAACAACACGTGGTAAGTAAGTCGTGTGCTCCCCCGCCCCCGTTTTCCGCGTTTTCTGAACCCCCTTTCATATACGAAAGGAATCGTTCGTGTCCAGAACATGACACCAAACACGAAAAAGTGCGCAGGAGAGTGAGTACAACATCATGAGTGCGACTAAATTGTCTAGTCTTGCCAAAAACAAAGCAAGTGTGAGCTAGTAACAGCAACTCTGTGGATAATAGTAGACTGCTGCGCGTTGAGTACCATGCGTGTCGAGACGACAGACCCGTGCCAACATCACAGCTGAGCTCGGAAACAAACAAATTTTGCACGAAAAAAAACTTGTCTGCAAGCATCTACCACCTATGGCACGGAATCCCGGAGGGCTACAGCAATCCAGGGACAATCCAGGGATATCCAAAATAACAATTTGTCCCTCATGTCTGCCTAAAACGATAGATAAAAAAAAAAAAACACGAAAGCAAGATGCTTCATGGGAGAGAAACCTGCGTCATGGCGGCAACAGCGAACATCCCCAACGTTATTCTTCTTTCGCCGTACAATCGAACCAGACTCGGCAAAAAAAAGAACTCCCGTAGGATAACTCTGAATCGATTGCTTGGTCTGGAACACAAACGGTCGGCCTTTATACGAGAGAAGGAACAAAAAAAATCCGCGCGAGAGAGTGCAAGGGGAACCCGCCGCACAGCGTATACTACATACACACACCCCGCAGAAACAATTGAATCTCTATACATTCACATGAAAGACGAGCCGGGTTGGACACATTAAACTTTGATACATATGAAATAAGAGCGGGGTTGGACAGATTAATGTTTGATCTAGACCCCTCCTCAGGTCTTTTAATGCCAGCGCAACGACCAAGACAAGCACAAAGCGAGAGAGAGAGAGAGAGAGAGAGAGAGAGAGAGAGAGAGAGAGAGAGAGAGAGAGAGAGAGAGAGAGAGAGAGAGAGAGAGGCCACCGCCACCGCCTCGCAAAACCGATAACAAGGTAGCACAAAACGGGTATCTTCTGCCGTGGGCCGACACAACCGGCAGCGGTTCAACCATCGACCAAACATCCAAACAAAAAAAAACGCGTCTTCTGCATACCACCGCAACACGAGACAAAAATGTCGGAAATACGCAAACACTACAATACGATCGAAATTCTCCCTAAAAAAAATACCGCGGGTCTGAGCTCGCGAGCCTCCGGGGCTCGAGAGAGCTATTTGTACAGCAGCAACGGCCGTTACCCGAGCCAGACGTCCGCAAAGCGAGCTTAATAAACGCCGACATACTGCGGGGCAACACTGCGTGGGTGTGTACAAGACACGAAAAAAAAATAACACCACAACATTACGGCCAGACCCCGCGTGCACGGTCCTATCCTTCTCTTCGAAACGTGTCTTCGTGACGCGAGGATAATGAAAAAGAGACAACAAATGCCGCGCCGCTACCAACAGACCCCGCGTGCACCGTCCTATCCTTCTCTTAGTCGTCCTCTCGACGCGAAATTAACCTGGGCTGTGCTTACCCTGTGCATGGCGAACGCCTGTTGCTTCCCCCCGGCCTTCTCGAGCAACACCGCCGCCGCGTGCTCCGCCAGGAGCGTCTCCGCGTAGTCGTCCCCGCTCGATTGCGGCACCATCCTCTCCTCATCCTCGTCCTCATCCTCATCCTCTTCCTCCTCCACCTCCTCGGACAGCATCTCGGCGGACTCCGAGCTATCTCCCCTCTCCCTCCGGTACAGCACCCGCGGCTCGTCGTTCTCCGACGCCCCCCTTCCATCTTCCTGCGGATCCCCCCCTCCCCCGGCCAACCACATGGAGGAGGAGGACGACGGGTCCTCCTCTCTTCTGCGCCTGGAACTGCGAGCAGCCTCCTCCGCCTCCCGGGCTTCGTCCGCCGCTCTGGCCTCCTCCGCTAGCCTCCTCTCCTCCGCCTCCCGGGCCTCGTCCGCCGCTCTGGCCTCCTCCGCTAGCCTCCTCTCCTTTGCCGCTGCCGCCTTCGCCGCCGCTCTCGCCTCCTCCTTCTCTTGCCGTAGCCTCGCCCTTTCCTCCTCCTCCCTCCTCGCGTCCAGCTGCTGCTGCTGCTGCTGCTTTTCCTCGGCGGCGCGGGACCTTTCTCTTGCCTCTTTCCTTTCCATCGCTTCGACCCTGCTGCGTTCCCGACCCGCCGCCGCCGCAGCATCCGCCGCCGCCGCTGCATCCGCTGCAGCAGCAGCAGCAGCTTCGGCTTCTGCCGCCCGCGATTTCTCTGCCTCGCCGTTCTTTGCCGCCGGGGCATCGGCGCCGCGGGGCGCGGTGTCTGGTGTTGGTGGAGGCGCCGCCGCCGTCGATGACGATGACGATGCCGCTGCTGCAGCAAGGTAGCTCTTTCGAGCGGAACCAACGCTGCCGCTGCCGCTGCCGCTGCCGCCGCCGCCGCCGCCGCCCGCTGCGACGATCGGCGGCGACGGCGATGGCGACACCGACGCTGCCACCTGGGCTGCCGCCGCCTTGGCTCTGTCCAAGGCTTTGACGGCCTCCTGGGCCTTGGCGTCTGCCTCCCGTCGAGCCACCTGCGCTCGGGACAACGAAAAACAACAGCAGTCATGAGGCAAAAAAAGAGTGCTTCAGCGAAACAGCCGAAGCTTAGAGGTAGAGGTGCATGGATCAAGGTTCCTCCGTTGAAAAGTCGACGTCGGACTCAGCACGGAATAAATATAACGTGGCGGAACCGCGGCAGCAGCAGCAGCAGCAGCAGCAGCAGCAGCAGCATGAGCCCCACCCATGCAGAGCTAACGCGGTTTCGCGCTTCGCCCTTTCGAAGGTGCGGGTGCATGTACACCGGAGAGCCTTCCTTCCTGTACACACGTCGACACGACAAGTACCGCTGCTGTTACCACTACCGCCGCCAGACGAGAGTCCCTCCCAACGACAGCGTGTTTTCTCTTTCGACATTGTGTCCCTTCACAAGAAACACCGTCCGTCAGCCTCTTCTGCTCGTCCTACAGTCGGTTGAGGGGCGGAGGGACTGCTGGCGCTCCGCCATCCCGAAGGCCAAGCGAAGCGAAGCTTGTCGACAAGCAGCCCAAACGATTCAGGTAAAGCAGCGATGACCTCCTCCGACCCCAGCCCTCTCCTACGAACGTTTTTAAAAAAACTGTGACGCTGCCTGTAGCGAATTCCCGCTCACTGACAACAAACAAATGTAACACGCAACATCACAGAATGACCCGCACAAAAACTACATCACACCCCACCTTCGCCGCCACAGCGTCCTTGGCCTTCAACTCGGCCTCTCGCTGCAACCACAGCGCCGCCGCCGACTTCGCCGCCGCCTGCGCCGCCACGATCGTGCCCGACTGCATGGCGGCCGCACGCGCCTTCCTGTCCGCGGAGCCCCAGGCGCCACCCCCTCCCACCCCCCCCTCCTCCCCCTCCTCCTCCTCCTCCTGCGCCTCGGCGGCGGCGACCGCCTTCTCTCTCGCGTACGTGTTCTTACTGCCCTCCCGCACCTTCTTGTTGGTGCTGGCCGCCATGCTGGCCACCCTCCCGGTGGGGATGATCGCAACCTTCTCGGGAGTAACCTGTCGCGGGGCGGGAGACGGCTCGGGGGAGGGCTCCGCAGGAGAAACGTCGCCGACAGCAGCGGCCTCCAACATTGCTGGTGGTTGTTGTTGCGCCCCCGTGCCGACGGTGACATCGCCGCCGCCGCCGCCAACGGCAACGTCGCCGCCGGCGTCAAGCTCCGTCCTCGGCGAAGCCACAGGCGCGCCCGCGCCCTCGGGAGGCCACTCCCACTCCGGTACGAGGCCGCCTTCGGCGGCGACGATGGCGGCGGCGGCTTCGCCAGCAGGAGACAGCACTCGTCGGGAAGACGACAACTGCTGGCCCTTGTTATCCACAGCGATGGCGTTGCCGCCCCTAGACGACGGCTCTGCTGCCGCCTTCTTGGTAACGAAGGAGGAGGGGGAGGAGGAGGAGGCTGCTGCCGCCGCCGCCGCCGCTGCCGCAGCTTCCGCCGCTGCCGCAGCCTCGGCCTCCTCTTCGTCGAGCGCCGCCACCGCCGCCGCCGCCGCCGCATTCGCCGCTGCTGCTCGGCGAGCCGACCTCCCCTTGGACGTCGACCTGTCCAGGTCGCTGACGGCCGTGCTCGAGTGCCGCCTCTCGTGGTCCTTGACCCTCGTCCCTTCCCTGCGGGGGGATGCTGATGCTGCTGCCACCGCCGCCGGGGATGGTGACTCCGGCGGCGGAGCTGCTGACCCGCTCCGCTTGTCCCGACGATGTCGCGAGGACTGACCGCCCGAGACGTCGAGGGAGCCGCTGCCGCCGTAGGCTACCATCGCCGCCGCCGGATCTTCAGAAGGATTGTCGTTGCGAGACGACCGCGAGTTGCTGTTATCGTACCCGTGTCGAGGCGAAGCCCCCCCGGCCTCCAGCCCCCTTCGCTTCGATCTTTCCGAGCGAGACGGTGCCGGCGGGACCGGGGGTGGGGACGGCGAGGGTTGCGGTGTTGACGAGTGAGAGTCCTCTCCGTTCTCTCCATAGAGGTAGCCGATCGACTCCGTCGGGATGGGCCGCGAGAGAGGCGCGACCATCAGGCTGGACATCAGGCTGGACATGTTCTGCTTCCCGCCGGCGCCGCCGGCGCTGCTGCTCCCCCCCTTCGTGCTCCCACTCGCGCTCCCGCCCGACTTCTTGGACCCGTTCTTCTTGCTCTCCCTGCTCGGGGTACCGGAAGACGACTGCGCGGGTTGCCGCCGATCAGACCGCGACTTCGTCTCCCGCCGCCCGTCGGCGCCCCGTCTGCTCGTGGTGCCGTCCCCACGCGCGTCGCCGCCGCCGCCGTCCGCCCCCTTGCCGTCGTCGCTGCTGTTCCCGGAAGGCGCGGAGGACCGCGAGCCGCGGGAAGACCCGTCGACGCCTCCTCCGCTCGTCGCGCGGCCCTCCCTCTCCCTCGCCGGGGTCGAGTGCCTATCCCTGGCTGTCCCCCGCGGCAAGGGCGGCGCGCGCCCCCCCGCGGTCCCCCCGCTGCCGATGCTGGTGATGCTCCGAGACGACCGATGTCTCGCCGGAGTCGTGCCCGATAGACTCCTCGAAGAGCGGCGGGACCTCGCCGGAGTCACTCCCTCGCGGCTCGGATTCCCGATGTCTCCCTCGGACCCGGAGCTCGAAACGGTGCCGCCGCCGCCGCCGCCGTCGCCCACCCCCCCGTCGTCAGGCCGGCGGCGCGTGCTTCCGCTCCTGCCGCGCTGGTCGCCGCTACGCCGGCTATCACCGCTGCCCCGTCGCTCGCCCCGCCGCTCGCCCCGCCGGGCCACCTTCTTGCCGTTCTTGTCCAGCTTCGGCATGGCCCCCGTCCGAATCTGGTGCGAAGTTCCTCCGGCCCTGGGTAGAGGGGGGAATAAACATGGTCATGGACGTGGAAGCATAGGGCAGCGCACGTTCATCAGCAACTAGTAGACATTGGTGTTGCAATAAGTTTGTCGTGTGCATATTCAGATTTATACTGCAAAAATCGCGAACAAGCTGAAGAAAGCACGCAACGGCGGAACTTGCTATAAACAAACAGCCTTGCAAATGGCAGTGTGCAGGGCAAGCACACAAGAGTCCATATATATCGGTAAGGGTAAGGACCAACAAAAAATTTGCTGCTCACGGCGCGGCGATAGTCGTCAGGCCACGGACAAAACCGGTGCGCACCCTACGTACAATCTTGCGCTCCTACGTAAAAACACGTCGACATGAGAGTATGCAAGCGATTCTGCACTGCCTACATCCGGATTATCTGCACGGCATACATGCGACGATGCGACGACGCACAGCAATCTTCCGCGCGTGCGAATTGTTATTTAGTACCAGCGCTTTTACTGCCTATCGGGCGAGGGAGCGATCGAGCGACCATCACCTCGCCGCAGATGCCAAAAAAAAAAGGAGGGTCAGGGAACGTGCGAGACGAGGTCGTCGACTTCCCTCCCCATGGATCATACCAACACCATTTTATATTCCCGCAAGGGGTCTGCAACGCCAAAAACAGAATTCCCAAGGGTTAACTCACCTTTGGTGGCTCGCCGAGTGCGCCACGCTACTGTGGTCCCATAAAAAAAATCTTCCTCTGGGCGAGGTATGCGGCATGTTGGCTTCCCCCAAAACTGAGCACATACGCGCAAGCAGGCATCAATTTCCCCCCGCTATTTACAAATATGCCGTGAGTTGGATATTCTTCCTTTTCAGCAACGAGGACCCGGAAACCGGGCCACAACGACATATTTTTTTATCTGATTGATCTGAGGTGGGGTCCTCTAGAAAGTACTAAAGTATCAAAGTACTGAACACTGCCGTATGCACATCAACAGAATCACATCTACTACATACTTCACCTCGTTTGTGCCACCTTACCTCAGAGTGTGTTCGCAACAGAGGTACCGTAGGCCCTACCTACCCTTTGAGAAGTTACCAGACGACAGGCAGCAACCTACTACGGAGAATATAATTAGTCTACAGAACATATGCACACACCGATTACGACGCTCGACTCGAGCAAGACTCGCGCCCATGCCTCCCGGCCCTCCCCCACCCCCCGACCCCCGACAACTTAGCGTCGGAAACCTAGCAAGCAGAGTCTCGCAAAGGCGAGGCTATACAATTCCTGCGCGACCTCTGCGAGTCTTGTTCTTTTCTTTGCCAATATGTCCCCACCTGGCTGTAAGGATTATCATGCCTCCGCGCCTACCATAAGTCTCCGAAGTATCATACTGCTGTAGGACCGTTCGTTTGTGGTCCTCGGCCCGTCTACGCATACAATTCTTCATGGAAAATTGATTTTTCGAAGGTTGATATGCTTCAAACGGAGCAACGCACCCATGAGTACGCACACTGGAACAAACTTGTGTTACATAGAACGATATCGGTTTATATAGCATCATCATGACAGACACCACACGTTGCTCAGCTCGAGTGTGACACGAGGGCACCGCAACGCATGGCCATTTCGCAGCACGCGCGCGGCACAGCCATGTTGCCCAGAAATCAGGGGGAGTTTTTCGTGGTCTGAACTACACGGCAGTTCCTGCAGTTTCAAAGCGTCTGGTCAAACGGCGTCAGTTCCATCTCCGACAAGCACAGCCAAAAAACGCGGGCATCCCTGGCAAAGCCTTGGAGTGTTGTCAATCCCGGTTCATGTTTTCCTCCTTCTTCCCCCCTCAAGATTTGCTGCACTCTCTTGCTTGCTACACAGGGTTTCGACGTTCTCAAGTGCCGTTCATCTCTTGCCCTGTCCTCTCCGTCTTAAGACTTTTATAGATACTCCTCGATCATCGCCATGTGTTTTCCGTCAGGGACCGAGAACGGAACAAGGGTCATACGTGACGTGTCGTTCACAATTCTTGGGCGGCCCAGACCCCACAACATAGGCTTTCTCTCATGCTCTCCAATTTCTATTGGAACTCATGTTACAAGGGGTGGTTGGCGATTTAAACGGCACACATTCCTGTAGCCTGTAGAGCACAATGCGCCGCAGCCAGGGCGATGTGATGTTACACTACAGTAGACAGCCACCATCCAGCAGGGCAACAAACGGCAGTGGCAGCAGGGTCACGCAGCATGTGTATATAAACATACCGGAATCGCTCTCTTGGAGACACCGAGCAACTCTTCGCGGAACCCGTTTTTCCTTGCTCACGCACTCGCCACCGCTGTCTGATGCTATGTTGGTTACGTTGTTGGTTCTGTTCGGTGATGCTGTCGCTGCTGCTCTCTGCAAGGGGCGTGTGCCCGCGGGAGGGCTTCTCCTGCATTCGTCGTCGCCCAGATGCGCCGCAACTACTGGGACGTAAAAGCGAACGGGGTCCCCACCGCTAGGAAGGCATTGACGGCGCCGGAGCGGGAACCAAAAAAATATCCTTGAACAACACTCTATCCTCAACTTTACCAACCCCGGGGGAGTGTAGCAGGCAGGAGCGAAGAAAAAACAAAAAAAAACACTCCAAATGCGTACGGCAGGCGTTCAACCATCGCGACAAGAATCAACCACGGACCGGGACGGATGGTTGAGGCCAAGTACGTATGCGTAAACGGACCGCAGTATTTCTTCTGTGCTGTAACGCCGCCGGCGGCGGTCCGCGCGAGAAATCATGGTGGTGACGACGATGTCGAGAAAAAATATATAATACGTGCTGCGCACATAAAGAACTCGTCCATGGAAAACAGAACAGGGGGCTGGCTCACTCGTGTAAGGGGAGAGAGAAAGACAACACGGGCGGGGCGGGTGATTCGATGAGCTGCAAATGGTTGATCCATACAAACAACAGAGTCACTCGAGTCACTCACACACGTGGAGCAGCCTGTCGCCCACGGGGGAGTTACAATATCGCTGTGTACTGCTGGGGGAAACAAACGTAGAAACACAGGTAAATGATGTTCCGCTATTTAGCGCTATGGGTTCGTCTGCAAATTATACTATAATACCAAGTGGACACTTTTTCTATGGATTTATGTATACACAGATGAATTTGTTGTGTCACAGCCACCTTTTTCCCGCCACCTCTCGGGCTGTCTGTGTGTGCTCGCCGACTCAATCAACAAAAAAAGAGTGTTCGTGATGCCGTGTGCGTCCCATTTTTGGTGCTGCTGTACGCCAGAAGTTCCGGCGTATATCTGACATGTGCTTGTGCTTGCAAAACTTGATGCTCATGTTGTTGACATACAGACGAATTCGGGCTATCCCAGGGAAAGGGATACTTTTACCGAGAAATAGATACATCGGAGGATTAGGTGTAACGCTGTGCGATATGCAGCTACGCTGCCGTCACTCTGCAGCTCTTTAGGAGAAAGGGGAGGGGGGACAGAAGCAAGTACGCTTGTATACATACCAGCGGGCGCCGGCGATGGCGCCTAGCATGGTTGATTGCAAGAATTCGAAGTGGAAAATAAACAGCCTTCAGGCGCGCGCCTGGCAGCCCTCCAGACTGATGCTGCTGCTGTGGAACTTGTAGTACATGCTGGGATCTCTCCGCAAGTCAAAGGGTGGCAAGCTTGAAGGAAACGGCTATTCCTGACCCACAGCAACGCAAAAACTCCAGGGGCAGGCAACGACGAAGCTATCGTCACCAGCACAACTTCGAATAGAGGCGTATGTACACAAGCCGCCCGACAGCGCGCCATCTGTGTACCATGTCATGTACGCACATTTACCTCTCTACACAGCAGCGCAGCTGATCTCCGTCTGTGGAATCGTAAAAAAAAGAAACATATACTTGTATCTTGTACATAGGGAAGAAGAACATGTGGTACTTGAAGAAAAAAACACCAACCGTACCTTGACTTTGCCCAGGCCTTAGCACGCTGTCGCCGTTGCTCTAGAGACGTCATCGCCGGAGCCGCTATCTGGTTCGCGTACGCCGCTTCCCGCGCCCTCTCGCTGCTGTTAGCGGCGGCCGCGGCAGCAGCAGCGGCGGCGGCAGCCGCAGCACCGTCTCCCTCCTTCTCCTCCCTCACGATCCCCAGCCTCGCCCCGCGCTCCTCCACTATCCTTATGGCGGCGTCCATTGCCACACCGTGAGGAGACATGGCCGCTCTCCGCGGCGTCGTCGTGGGCCTCGCCAGCGTCCGTGGCCTGCCGGAGTTGCTGCCGCTGTCCCCGTCTGAACCCGACATCTTACCGTTGACTCTTGTGCCACCTCCACCAGCGCCACTGCTACCGCTGCCGCTGTTGTTGTTGTTGTCCGGCTTCGCTTTCCGAACCCCTCTGCGCGCTGGCGTCCCGCCGATGACCCGCAGGTTGTGAGGAGGGCTCGCCCGCCCCCGACTCCGGCGGTTAGCGGTGGTGGTGACCGACACGCCGTTGAGGTCGCCGTTCTTGCCTTGCGACTCCTCGGACCAGACCCCGGCGTTGTCCAGCTTTGCTGCGGTCGTCGAGCGGTAGCTGCTTGGGTACTGGGACAGCGCGGAGCTCGTCTCGATGAGGGAGCTGTACCCGGCCGTGCGGGTCGTCGCCACGCTCAGCGCGCTGGCGCCGGCCCAGGTGGTGTTGCTGTCGAACTCGCTCAGCAGGTCGCTCGCGGCCGGGATATCGTCGTTGTCTTCGTCGACGTCGCCGGCAAATTCGTTCGGAGCTGAGGGCGCAGCTGCTGGTGGCGGCGACGGCGGCGGCGGCGCTACCACCCTTGCTGCTGCTGCTGCTGCTGCTACTGTTGCCGACGGCGAATCACTGCTGCCGGCCTCGTTGGGTTCGGAGGTGAACTCGCTCGAAGACCGCGAGCCGCAGCTGGTGGCGCAGTCGTCCTTGCCCTGCTCCTCCTTCCCTCCCTGTTGTTCATTCGCCGCTGCCACCGCCGGCCTCTCCGGAGCTGCGAGCTTCCCCCAGGCCCCGGACAAGACGCGGTGCTTGGGGGCCGGCGGCGTGTGTCTCCGCTTGTTCCCCTTCCCGGTCGGGGAGGCGTCGTCGTGTTCTGGTTCTTCTGATAGCGGTCTGCCTCTTCGACGCACCCGAGACGGGCTGCTGCTGCTGCTGCTGCCGCCGTTGTTGCTGCTGCTGCCGCCGCCGCCGATGCCGCTGGTCTTCTTCTTCCGTTGTGGGGATCCTCTCCTCCCATCCACCCCGCCGTTCGGAACCCCGGGAACAACGGAGCCGACAGGTAGCGGCAGACCGCTCGGCAAGTGCGCCCCACCCTCAGCATTTTCTGATGCCTCACTCATGTCACTCTCGCCCGTGGCGTGCTGCTGCTGCTGCTGCTGCTGCTGCTTCAGCCTCCCGTGGCCATGGTGAGCCCTTGCCGCTGTGCTTCGCGGGGCGTCGATGTCAGGTGGCTCGAGCGGCACGAACTGCTGCCCTCTCCCTGCTCCGCGCAAGGCCGCCACCACTAACCCTCCCGCGTCACCAGCAGGGTCGGGTAGGGTGGGCACTTCCTCCACAGGCATCATCATCCCCTCCGCAAGGCCGGAGCCGGCAGAGGCCAGCGTGCGCAACACGGGCGACATCAGCGGGCCGCCGGCCTTAACGGCGGTCCCCGAGCTCTCGAAGGCCTCGTCCATCGTGGACGTGACCGAGCTCGTGCCTCGCCCATAGTCCCTGTCGTTGCGAGGGGACGCCTCGCTCCCGCTGGAGAACATTCTCTGGTGCAGGTTGGGTGACGAGAGAGCCAAGAGGCTGTTTTTGTAATGGGGTTTGAACCAGCAGCGCCCCGAGAAGCGAGAGCTTCACTCTGCCGCGCCCGTCGAAGATCGGGGACACCTGCCTTCCGGGTTGGCGTTTGGCGTGCTGCAGCTGGTACGCTGATCCAGCGCGCTGGCCCAGCCGTCCGACTCAAGGGCCGGCTGCGTTTCTCTGCCGCCGCTTTCAAAACCAGACTGCTGCTTCCGCTGATGTTCACTCCAGCATCAAAAATACAAATTTGCCGCGAAAAAAAAGGGGTTTGCACATAATGAAACTGAAATGTTTGGGCACGTTTTACACGGATCTTCCAACGGCATCCGCGCGCGGATTGGATTTTGTGCTCCAGGCTCTGATGTCTCTCTCTCACCAAAGAAGTAGGGAACACAACCCAGAGACGGCTAGAGAGTTTACTGCTCATCTTCTTACTGCTGTATTATGTGAAAACTTCGTGGGAGCAGTGCTTGGGTGTACAGCCGATGATGCACAGAGAGAGCGGAGAAATGTTTGTCTACTGCTGTAGAGGGAGAATTCTGACTTCAACAACAAAAACAACATCATCATCAGCAGCAGGAGGAGCGGTGGTGGTTGGTGTACAGGCGAATTCATACATAATGATACCAGTACGCAGTATCCATACATACGATACCAGTACGCAGTAGACAGGGAAGCAGGGATGTAATCTTCTTCCTTCGTCGAACCAAAGAACCAAAGAGCTCGGAATCATTTACAACACCGCGTGTCCATTGTATTATGCATTCTTATGCGCCCCAATACAACACACGCTTGGTCACCGCATACTACTGCTGCTGCTGCTGCTGTGCTGCTGTATGCGTACACAGATGTATTTCTTGCACGGATGGATGATGTGTTCATGACGAGTCACCATTAAATTTGACCAAAATTTGTGGATCACCAGGTGCGGCAGAGATCGGAACGTTTTTCTTGTGAAGAATTTTGCACGTGCGTGCGAAGATAGAATACCGTATCATACAGCGAAACAAGTCCAGTACCAAGCCGGTTTCCCTCCACTCAAACGACTCCACCACATCCCGTTCGACTCTGTGGGTATATCTCGAATGGGTAGTATTTCTGTGTGTGTTTTTATTATTCCTTAATACAGCGGCGGTAGACCGTTCTTTGCTAGAAAGTAATTCTTGGTGGCTGGCTAGTCGTCTACAACGGCGACAACGGCGCTGTCTGATGATGTACCTACAACAGTACAGCAGCAGTCGGCGGTGCATGCATACACGCAGCAGTGTCTCTTCGTCAAGTTTTGTATGCGTATGATACTCTTCAAATCGGCATCCATTATTATTAGATTACTGGATAGTTACCCAAAACGACAAACGGAAAAATAGCACTCTGCCGATTCCAAATTACTACAGACTTGCCCCGCGTGGCCGAGGCTGGTGGGTGTTTGGGAAGCATCGCTGGACTTCCACTGTATTTATCACACTGCTGTGATTGTTGAGTATATATATATATATATATATATAAAGAGCCACTTCGACGAACGCCCGTGAACGTCGGTCTCGCGGATGGATGCTGGTCTCTGATTCATGCGATCCACGGAACAAAATTGAACATTAAAGATGGTCCTCCACATGAATCATGTGGCGCACGGAGAGAGTCACAGCAGTATAATAGTAGTCCTTCCGCCAAGCCGTCAGACTCTGTATGCATAGGACGTGACAGCCCCGCCGGATATATTGTGCGGGAAATTGCTGAACTGGGCAGCAACAGAAAGCAACAGCAGCAGCAGCAGCAGCAGCAGCAGCGACATACGCATTCCCATGCATATCACCTGTTGCTGCAGCAGAAAATAAAAGATGGTGATGAAGCGGTGTAATCGTTTGCCATTATACTCTGCTGAACGACCACTATTATTTTAGTCTAGCCTTTTTTTAGTCTACATTATACTATATGGAGGAGAAGAATAGTGCATGCAGGGCGGGGAAACGAATGCCACTACTGGTTGATGTTGATACATGTAACCACGTGACACCTGTCCCCCCGTCAGCGAAAATTGACACACCAGCGAAAATACTACGATGAAGGACTTCGTAATGTGCACGTGCCGAGACACAAGCGTGGGGCAAGGACAGGGAAAACAAGAGGCACTTTTCATGCTCGCTCCCGCAAAGGCTACGACGGACTGCGACAGCATCGCTTCAACCGCGGATGAAACATTAATCAGATCTGCAAGGACCATCTTGTCTGCAGAAAACAAGTGCCATTCGATCAAGAGGAGACTTTCACTATCATATTCCACGAGAACAAGACCGTTTCGCAACCTCCACACCTCCCCCCCCCCCCCCGCCTCGCGCCCTTCCCCTACAATGCCCGGACACTATATTCCAAACGGTCACCGCCATCACTCCAAAACACCTCTCGTCAAACCAGTAGACTACCACATAACCGGCAGTCAGCACGTTTGGTGCCCGCTGCTGCTACCGTACAGCTGCTGTCCGCCACCACCAACCAACCAACCGCGTGGGTCGAGACCCGAGGAGGTAGCAAGAGGACGGGTAAACGCTTTTCCCGCCCCTTAGAGATACCTCTACGCACCCGCTGGAGATTTGCCGAACAACAACCAAATCCCGCCCGCTACAGCGCACACCTATATACGTCGCAGACAAAAACCCAACCGCCTGTCAATCTATCGTGCTCATGTAACCCGACGTAAGGTCACTCGAGTCATGCCTTGCCCTTCTTGCCCTTGGCCTTCCCTTTCCCTCTGCCGCGGCCTTTCCCTTTCTTGACGGCCGACAAAAGATCGTCGTCGTCGTCATCGTTGTCCATGTCCTCGGGCCCATCCTTGTCCGCCGCTCCCCCCGCCCCCGTTGATGCTCGCGGCACCCCCTCCGCAGACTTGAACTCTCCCTCAAGGGTAACCGTTTTTTTTTCCTTGTCGTTTGAATCCACATCCATAGCCGCCGGGTGTTTCCCCCCAATGCCCGGGGCCCCGTTTTGGTTGTTTCAACGTTTGGGCCAGGGGGGCAAACTCGCTTTTGGGGTCCTCCTTTGGGTGCCCCCCCCCCCCGCCTTGTCTCGAAACCCCGCGTGGTTTTCTTTCGGCGCCGACACCGGCGGCGGCGGAATCAGTACCGTTTCGACCGTCCTGAGGCGTTGCCGCTGATGTTGATGATGCTCGCCCCGCTGTCGTTTCTCTCCCCTTAGGTTCTCGGCTTCCTTCCTCGGCGTTAACCCTGGCCTCCGTCAGCTTCGCCGCAGCAGCCATCTTGGCGAACAGGTCGGTGTCCCTTTTGCGGGGTTGAGGGGTGCGTGAAACAACAGAGGGGGGTGGGGGGGGCGAACAGGGCGGGCGGGAAGGAGGCGGGGGAGGAGGGTTAGATTAGAAACATGTGGCAGGAAAATGTAGGGTTGCGTCCGGGGATTTCATGCCAGGGTAGCAGGCGTCAGGCGCTGCTTGCAGACACGCAAGCCAAAGGCAACCAACGGGATAGACGAATGCGTCGAGCTTTCCCGTCAGCCCTCATGATGAACGAAAGGACTAGGTAGTCCATCCATGTTCCGGCAGCAAAGGGACAACCGACTTGGACACGTGATGGCATTAGCCCCGCCCTGACTCATATTTTAAGCACCCGCGCTTGACCTGGTTGCCATACATTAGCATGGTTTAACCCCCGACAAAGACAGAGAGACAAGGACACTAATCCCAGTCGCAGCTCGCGTGCAAGCAAAAGCCTTCGCAAACCCTAGTGGCACAACTAGCACCCCGCCCTTGTTACTTTTTGGCTGAGGCTGGGCTTCATAGGGCCATGCATACAATCGGCCACCATACAGGCTTTCGTGTGGAGGTTCTCAACGAGGGCTCGCAAAATGGTGCTCAAGGCCTTACGGTTTGATTCAATCATGAGCATACAGTTCTTAACTACCTTGTTCTTAAATGTCGGCGCTAACTGCTGTAAGAGGAACGTTTGGAGGCGAGCAGCTTGGTGTCAGGAGCGCAGAGGAAAAAGGGTTGACTCAAGACCTTGTACCGTTGACGAGTGCGCAGGGCATGCCTGCCCATGCGCGCAGAGGGGGGATCGCCCCTTTACAAACACACACCAGATGATACACGAAACCCCCTAGATCTCCGTAGATCAGTATCGAGTGCTGAGTACCCCCGAACACCATCCCCTCGAATCGCCCGTACTGACGGAAGGAGTAGGGCTCCCCGGGCGGCAGTTAGGGTCAAACAGCTAAGCCCGGCACATGACAGAGACACCACCTCGCTCAAAGCGGCGCTGTGGTTCTTGCGGCAACCCGTGGACCCCGGCTGTCTATCACGGAAACCCGTGAAAATGCCTACGATATCCGCGGCTCGTTTCCGTGCGATGGCGGGGAAGGCCGAACACCGTCCAAGCAACAAAACAGTGAAACAGTGGGTAACGAACGCAGGCGATGCCCACTTTGAAAAAGAAAAAAAAAACATCTTGAAAGCGCAAAACACTGGTATGTATTTTGGTTGGCAAACGCAACCTCGGGCATACACGAAAGGCAGGCGATAGACACGACACTCCGGCCTGTGCATACCTGGCATCGTTAATGTCGAGACCGCGCCCCCCACGGTTACCCCCCCCCCTCAGACCCTCCTCGCGGATGCCCTGCGTCACGTGGAGGTCGTCGTAGTCGAGGTGCTTCACCTGGGGCGAAGAAAAAGGCGGGAAAAGAGTGGGGTCGAAACGAGCAATGTGGAGATAAAAAAAAAAAAATGAACTACGTTCGAAGGTCGACGTATTTGAGCTCGTCGTAACTAGTCGAGGTGCTTCGCGTGCCAAAAATTGATCATTAACAACAAGGTGAAGAATTCTGCAGCACAGAGTTGGTCAGCACTCAAAAGCCTGGCAGGCTTTCCAGAAAGGCTTTGAGCACAAACTGACTGTGGCGCTAGCTAGCTTAAGAGCGCCAAACCCCAAATCCTTCCAAGCACGGGCAAAAACCAAGCATAGAGAGCCTCGTAAAAGAACAGGAGGATATTATCAAGTGACGGCCGGTAGTGCGTGATCGACGCACTCATGACCTAACAAAAAAAGAAGAAAAGGCGGAGGGAAAAAGAAGGACAGAAACAAAGTAGAGTACTGACGGATGTACGTCGCTACAGCAGTGCTTGGGTGTATGGATCAAACAAGAGGGAAGGGAAGCACAAGGAGATGAGATCGATCGAACCGCCGACTAGTTAACCCTTCGGAGGTGCCGCCTTCACTTTTGCTGCAGGCCCATGGAAGGAACTCGTTTTTCTTGCCGGCTGAAATAGCAAAGGGGAGAGTTTTTGACGCGCTGGGTGCACCATCAAGACGGCTTCAACGCACCTTCAGTGATTCCCGGGCGACCGGCATCGGCGCCTGTCCCACGACGAACGGCGTCGACCTCGTTCCGGGGAGCGTTGCCGGGATCTTTCCTTGGACCATTCCAGGGACGGGTCCTGGACCCGCCGCCCCCGCCGCGCTCGGGCTACTTCCACGAAGCCGGCTCTGCGGAAAAAACGGCGTAGGCCAAGGAAGGGGGGACACATCAGAGAGGCGTAGTGAGACGGTGGATACTTGTTGTTGGTCGTCGACGTCGTTGGCGAAATTATCGCAAGGTTGCGAGAGAGGGCACCCCCCCTAGACCGACTTGGAAAGGTTGATTGCTCCACGACCAAGATTGTCTGCATACCGTACCGTGGTATTCCGCAAGAGTCGGAGAGATAGTACCCCCCCCAGACCGATGTTCGAAAGGTTGATTGCTCCACAAGCAAGCGCGTTAGGAAAGATCCCGATACGTCGACGGAAATCCC